ACTGCGCCAAACATTTAGGTTATTTCAAAGGTCCTTGCAGCCTTAAAAAAATAAATAAATAGATGTGTAAGAAATTAGTCCTACACGTAAGAGACTGTTAAGGACAAACCCTGACAAATGTCTTGAAATACAACATTTACAATGCACCAGTAAAACATTTACAATGCTTCAGTTTGTGGTAACCATAGTAAATGAGTAAAAGAATTTATGTAGAAAACAATGGGGGGTTGTGGCCGCATCACCACCTCAGTTGAGCATTGTTTTCTAATAATTCCACGTCCCGTCATCAATTATTCCATACATAATAATGATAATTACTAGGGGAAGTCGTGGCCTAATGGTTAGAGAGTCGGACTTGTAACCCAAAGGTTGCGGGTTCGAGTCTCGTACCGGCAGGGATTGTAGGTGGGGGGAGTGAATGTACAGCGCTCTCTCCCACCTTCAATACCACGACTGAGGTGCCCTTGAGCAAGGCACCGAACCCCCAACTGCTCCCTGCTCCGGGTGTGTGTTCACTGCTGTGTGTGTGCACTTTGGATGGGTTAAATGCAGAGCACTAATTCCGAGTATGGGTCACCATACTTGGCCACATGTCACTTTCCTTTTCTTTCTCTTTTTTAATAGGTAAATATAGAAGTAAATAAATACATACTATACATACCTACATAAATAAACTTGCATGCATCAATCAATCAATGAGAACTGAGTTGTCCAGATTTTGTGAGACTTGTATTGAAGTATAACAGGTGAAGTGAGTCATTTATTGAGACACATGGCAAAAAGCAGGCCAGTTCACCTAAATTCACCCCAGAATTACATAAGCCAGACGTTTTTTGCATATTTGTATTTGTACACAGACGCGGTTTATGGGAACGCTGCAGATGAGGTTCAATGGAGGATGTTCCCCTCCAATCAGAGCCGACTGTGATAGACCGCACCACAGAGACCAAACACAATCACAGTGAAATATGGATTCAATTTAGCCTTCAGCCCCTCCTGTATGAATATATATCAGTTATATTAAAATCAGAACAGCACAAAGTGATTCATAGAAAACAGCAAAAGAATTTCAATAAAGGAGAATCAAAGCATCTGTCGGTAACAAGACGTTTATACGGGTCGACGTCCGAGAAGGTTAGCGTGCAGCTTTGGCCTAAGCTTTACTTTTGCATTACAATTATTGTTTATTGTCAATCAAAAGTGAAGGCAATACATTACGCGCTGCATACTCAATCTGCCGTGGCAGGACATCATTTCACACTGACTTACGGCCTGTTATTGATTTCCTGACCAGAGATGTTATTTCAGCACATAAATGACACCGGGTTTGTTCTCCATGTTTATTTCACCGCTGGCCTTGTAAATTGCTTAAGCAAATGCAATCATCTTTTCTCGCAAGGTGTGGGTTTCATCACCTGCGATGTGACACATATATCCTACCGAACACACTTAAAATGAGGCACAAAAGATTTCTCAGGATGAACAGAAATGGATGTCAGGCACAAGATTCGGTCAACATTTGAGCCTGTAGGATCTTAAAAGAGTTACACAAGAGTTGTCTATAAATGATATGAGCAGAGCTGTTTAATTCCTCTGAAAGAGCATAAAATAATAGTGCAAACAAAATAACAAATACTGTACAATCACCGTATTTGGAACAAGAAAACGGGATTGCTCTGACTGATTGAAATCAAAGCTGCCCAGTGTTGTTTTAGCATAACTAGTATCATATGTTTTAATGTTTTTATTTTTAGTTTTTTTTTTTTCATTAAGTTTTAGTAATTTTGTTGAGTTTTTATTTATTTTTAAACATATACAATACATCTTTATTTCAGTTTGTTCTATTTTTGTACATCAATTTAAACTAAATGAAAATGATAAATGTTGCTGAAATAAAATAGGGGTTTAAGTTTATTTTAAAATAACATTTATTGTATTTCAAGTAACAAAAATGCTTTTTTTGTGTTTTTTATATATTTTGAATTTTATGTAATTTATATTTTCCCTTTTTAGTTGAAGTTTTAGTAATTTAGTTGTTTTGAATTGTTTGGTTATTTTACTTTTAAACATTCAGTTTTAGTTATTTTAGTACATCAAGTTAAATTAAATGAAAAGGAGAAATGTTGCCTTGTTTTTTATTTGTAATATTTTATTTCAGTTTTTTTTTGTTTCATGTAACATTTTTTTATTTAGTTTTCGATAACCATAATAATAATAACTCTGACTCAACCCTTATTAACATTATAAAATTGCAGTAATATTACATTGAAAGTTACATTATAGTATATTAAATTGTTTCATTAAATTAAACAAACCATATTCTTGGTTTATAATTTCCTTTTATCCAGAATAAAATAAAATAAAATTTCTATATTCTATACTCCATATTTCTATTGTTAACTTCTTGCAAAGACATGCAATTTGTTTCACGGGACTATCCAAGGAGCAAAACCCATTAGTTCTCACTGAGATGCATTGGACACATTTGGGATTTACAGAGTTAAGTTATTTTCTGCCTCTGGTTTAAATAGAAAGTTAAATTGAATTTGCTGCCGCTGTTGTATTAGGCCTCAATAATTCTGTAATTAACATGACAATTAACAACTGACAGTCCAGCAGGATATTTTCCCAGCATCCTCTAATAAACAACAAAGTCATTTGTCTCATGGAAACGTATTCTGCTAAATGAATGCAGCTATACTGCTCAATGAAGCATAAAATATATTGTTGTGTTTATTTCAGTTCTGACAGCAGTGTGACTAAAGTGATACTAAGTTTAAAAAAACAAGAAAGAAAATTATTATTTTGAAGAAAAACTAAGCTACTTATCTGAAGCTCAGCCTGGAGACTCTGATTGAATTTGATCATGAAATGCCTGAAAATGACCTTTCCTTTCAAAGGGAATCTTCAGCTGGATTAATCAGGTGAGATGTTGATAGCGTACCGTGGGAAACTGACTCAGTCGGGTATTAATGTCAGGACGTGTCTGACGCCGTGGGACGTTTCTGGGACTGTTTATCTCCTTCTCTAGAATTTCACACGTTCTTCAGTTCCCGGTGACCCAGCAGCGGCATCTCAAACACACATTTACATAAACGCACACGGGTCATTCCTGCAAATATGTGAACACAAACTTACCACACGAATAAGTTGGAAAGCAACAATTTTAAAGAAAAGGAATGGTTTACCCAAAAATGAAAATGTACTCGCCCTCAGGCCAACCAAGATGTAGATGAGTTTGTTTCTTCTTCAGATTTGGGGAAATTCAGCATTCCGTCACTTGCTCAGCAATGGATGCTCTGCAGTGAATGGGTGCCGTCAGAATGAGAGTCCAAACAGCTGATAAAAACATCACAATAATCCACATCACTCCAGTCCATCGAGTAACACCCTGTGAAGCCAAAAGCTGCGTGTTTGTAAGAAACAAACCCATCGATGTTTTTAACTTTAAACCTTTTAATTGTTTTTGGCCAAAATATGAGTCTATAATCCATAATAAAAAAGTTAATCCTCTGGTGTCATTTTCTATCAAAATCCACCAACATATTCGTTTAGATGTGTTTTGGATTGTTTTCACTTATAAACGGTGTTTGATCTGTGTATATATTTTTTTCTGATTCAGACCAGATGACTTCACTGGAGAAAGCAGTATTATAGATAGTGGACCCACATTTTAGCTGGAAGCAGCAGTTTAAAGTTAAAACACTTTAAATGATGAATTTGTTTCTTACAAACACGTAGATTTTGGCTTCTCAAGATGTTAACTGATGGACTGGAGTGGTGTGGATTACTTGTGATGTTTTTTGGACTCTCATTCTGACGGCACCCATTCACTGCAGAGGATCCATTGATTAGCAAATGATATAATGCTACATTTCTCCAAATCCGATGAAGAAACAAACTCATCTACATCTTGGATGGTTTGAGAGCAAATACAATTCCATTAAATTTTCATTTTGGTGCGAACTATTCATTCAAACGAAATGTAAAAGTCTTTTAAAGGAAAACTCCTTTAAAATGACAAAAACAAAAACACATTTATTGCAGAATCCAAGATGTTCTGCATGAATTGACATGAAGGATTCACGTAACAAACACCAAAACCCAACCCAGTGTGATTTGCACAATCTGCCATTTTTAGATGCTGCATGTTTAAGACCAATGACTTCATAACAAACATCAGAATTACACAATAAATCCGTTCACTGAGACAAGAGCAGTAATTCTGACTGCATGTGCTGTGCAAGTGACCTTGAACATACAAAACATGCTCTCCAGCATATTTCCTCCCTCAGCTCATAGAAGATGCTGCATTGATTATGCACGTATGAGTCAATGCTTTGCTATTTTCAAAACCTTTTTAGTAAAGTGAAAGCTGGCAGTCTTTATGATGCAAACATGTCCGCCATTTTCACAATCAATGTCATTGAGATTCAGCTCCACGTTGTACTAAAAAGCTGAATGGAAAACGTAGCTTTTCAGTTTCCAAGGACTCAAGGTCTCGACAAGCAATGAGTTAATGAACTCACCTCAGACTCAACTTACCTCACTTTCCAGACTGGTTTTGCAGCGGTTAACCTGCGGTAACATCACACAAACAGAGCAGAGAGCCTTAGTGGATGACGTTATTCTGACAAAACAAACTTGAAATCTGCTAAATGTCTACAGTGCACTGGATTAATCAGCACCAACCAAGAGGCACTTTACAAATACATTGAGTTTATTCAGAAGTCAGTAGTGGATTTGGAGCAGTCAGTGTTATCGATATGCTTTTATGTGGTTTATAGGCTTGATTGGTACAATGACTTTTAGTTGTTTTTACTCCAATTGAGAACAAACAACACCACACATTCAATAAAAGATACATGTAAGAATACCTTTACTGTCCCTCTTATTAGAAAACCAAGCCCTTTTTGGATAAAAATGCCAATTTTTATAAACTGCGAATACAAAAAAAGGACAAAATTTACTTTCAAGAAAACAATCAAATAAAATCATATATACAAACCTCTGTACATAAATGTGTATATATTGAGGATAAAAATAGCATGTAAAAATGAGAGAAAGAGGAAACTTTGATTATGCGACACCGAAGTGGTTTGAATTGGTCACGCGTCTCAACGATAATGTGCATAAAAAGCGCATTCCTGCCTAAAGTGGAGTTTTAGTCAAACATGCACCATCTGCCAAAAATACCCAGAATTCCCTGACTCCAGCATCTATATGTGCTGTGGTCTGACGCCTGGAGTGATGTGAAATAGACTGCGTCTCTGAGCTTGTATTGTCACTGGGGTGCAGGCTCCGAGCGCTGATCCGGCAGTGGACAATAATCAGCCGTTATGAGCGGGGCTGAGGTGAGGTATTCATCATGCCATACTGTCAGGGATGTTGACGGAAAATCGTTGGAAGAGGGCCGATGCGGATGTCTCCGTTTGACGATGCCGTCTGCTGGCTTATTGGACGATTCCCGAGTCGATGGAGGTCTGCTTGCGAGTGGTCTTTGGAGGGGGAGGAGGAGGGGTCTTGCTGGGTAACGGAGGTGGAAGGTGCTGGAAAAATGCGGAAAAGAGAGATGGAGTTTTTAAAACACTCGAGTGAAGCATTAATTCTTCATTACATGAGATCAAATGGTGCTGCTTGTCCATGCTAAACTCCACGTTACATTACTAAAGTCAAGTCTCTGTGATGATCTGGTCTCTTCATATGAATGATATATGAAAGCAACAGAATGAATGAATCAATATATTTTAATTAATATTATAAATAAATAAAATATATTTATAATATTTATATTGTTCCTTTTGATATATGTGACCCTGGACCACAAAACCAGTCATAAGAGTCAATTTTTCGAAATTGAGATTTATACATC